GAAGCAGCGAAAATTCCGTCTAGATAGAGAGTATTCGGTGCCAGCTTAAGCTGAAATTCCAACTTTTTGATGCCCCACCTCAGGCAGGCCTCAGGATGAAGACTGGTGAAAAGTGGAGCTCCGCGCACATTCTCGGCATGAGATAGCAGCCGGCATCCACCTGTGACCGTGACATTCATCGTATTCTCCTGGGGCTTCTGCCTAGTGCAGAACCTCTCAGATCTCAGACCTCCTTTCGTGCCTTGTTCAAGTTTGGAATAAAATATGATGACTTGCTTACTAAATGCGAAGCCTCAAGTTCTGGTGCGGACTCTGCGGAGCTCAAACATAGCGGAGTGAGGTTTTAGTGGAGCGCTTCACCTCACCGCAACCGTATAAGCTGGCACCGAATACTCTCAAATATATTTGGACATTTCACGTTTGTGATCAGTCCTTGCGGTGGCCTAGTTTTGCTTACAAAACTTTTTTTTTCGACCACACGGACGATAGGCAAGCTCGCTTCCCGCTCATGACACCTCCAACCAAAAAGCGAAAGACTTCGCATATAGAAAAGATAGAGCACCTTGAGCAAACGCTGACATCTGCGTTAGCTAAATCTGCATCGCTTAACTCTTTGGCCGACTTTACAGACCTCGCGTCAAGTCTCTCCGAGTCCCCAGACCTTCACAAAGCGATCTATGCGTTATATCGTGTTTTTATCCTTATAATCGATTCGGGCCGCTTTTGCGGTCACAATGAAGAAGGGGAGCAGGCCAAATTAGTTCGCTCTTGGTTAAATGAGAGGTTGGCGGAATACACTACGGTGCTATGCAAGTGCTTATCGAACGATCAGAAAGGTATTAGGGTGTGTAGACTTGCGAGTATCGTATGAACTTCGAGGCATACTCATCTTTTTGGCAGACGTCCGCACTTGAGATTCTCCTATCAATTTTAAAACATCTCTCTGAAGCATTCTCCAAGTTCACATTGCAGCCGCAGCTGCATGTTTCGTGTCTTCGGAAGATTGTCAATGGCCTCTTGCTAGTAGATAATATCGATGGTAAACTCGATCCGGACGTCCGGGATCGTTTCGTGACCACTTGGTTTAGCGTCCATGACGACATGCGATGGTTTTTCCTTAGAGAGTTTGCGTGAGTCATTGGTGCATCTATACGGTTACGCTCGACCAAATATCTCAACAGGATTATTTTACGCTCGTCGAAGCCGCAGACTAACGCACATCTCCCAGAGAACTTGCTCTCCATCCTTGAGCGGCTCACCACAATGCCTACCGATGTTTCAGAACTGAATGAGTTTTGGATACCATCCTTTGCGCGTGCTCCTCCAAAAGCCTTCCTTCCTCCGCAAGAAGAAACTGAAGATGCTGAAGCTGAAGACGATTGGCGAACCTTCTTCGATACACCTGATGCACCAGACACCTCCGCAGACCAGTTTGTCAAGGGCCAAAGCCAGCGCGTATATCGCCTGTCAACACACCAAAGTCTGCACTCGCTTTCATCACACCGTGCACAGTTTACTGCTTGCTGGATGGCACTCTTGCCACATCTCTCGGCCTCGGCAGGACTGTCGACTAGGGCGCTAAAATTTCTGCATCGCGGGGTGATGCCGCACTTGAATAAACCTGTGCGATTAATGGACTGGATTGGAGGGTGTGTGGATTTTGGTAAGGAGATTGCACAACATTTCTTTATCTAGAAAGGTGTTTATACGCGTTCTTGTAGGCGGCTCTGTTGGACTGTTGGCCCTCAACGCATTGTTTACCTTGATGCAACACTACAATCTGTATGTCGGACCCTGTCGTCGTGCATAGATGCTCACAATTACCTATTAGAGACTATCCCAACTTTTACACGCGGCTTTACGCTTTCCTTACACGCGACGTCCTTCACTTAAAACATCGCGCTCGATTCTTCCGGCTCACAGAGCTCTTCCTCTCCTCTAGGTATGTTATCTTTTCAATGCACTCAGTCTCACATGCGATAGTAATAGTAACGCCCCAGTCATCTCCCCGCCACACTCTTGGCATCCTTCATCAAACGACTCTCGCGCCTCTCCCTCTCGGCACCACCTGCGGCCATCATTATGATCATACCATTCACATATAACGTACTTAAGAGACACCCAGCATGCATGGTCATGATCCACCGGGACGCACCAGATTTTGAATTGGGTACTTCCACCCTAAAGCGTGCCATAAATTTCATTGACACTGTCTCCTAGATCCCTTTGATGCTAAAGAACCGTCTCCGTACATCACTAATGCCTTATCGTCCTCGTTGTGGGAGTTACTGTCGCATCGGAATCATTACCACGCTCCTGTAGCAACTCTTGCTCGCATATTCTCCGATGCATTCACCAAACCCAATTATGCAATGGAGGACTTTTTGGACCACACATACGGCACTGTGCGTACCCAACTCACCGTCTGACGCATTTCGTGACGCATCTGCTATGTGAAGCTTTTTGACACCGAGGCAAAACGCAAGATAAAGAAGGATCCTCCACTAGCTTTCGAGCTAAAGAAAAACCCGTTCCCATCTGCACAGGCTGCTCAGCGTACTGATGATGTGGCTAATGTCGAGACGGATGTGGTCAGTGAACTATGGTTGTTCTAACGTTAGTGAGCGAATTATTGGGTGAGACGGGCCTTGATGCTCTGGGTCAAAATTATCTTTGTATTACGCACGCACGCATATCACTATACCTCAGTTCGCAATCTGACCAAAATAGCTCGTACAAGCCCTGGGACGTCGTTACAAGCGGAGTGCACACCGACGAGCTCCTGGATATCCATCACAATGTCCGTATCAATAAGATGCGCTTCAGCTATCTGTCTCGTATTGGGCATGAAGAGCAACGCAATTGTTGCTTTACGACCTTTGGGGAGGGTGTATGTGAGTCGTAGCTCATTATCGGATGGCGTCTCGAATTTATCCAAAGACATGAGCGATTTGTGTAAGGAAACCGCAGCGGAATACCTATGATGGATGAGATATGTAAACGAAAGTGAAGAGTCGACACACCAATCATTTAGCGCCGGCCAGCGATTGTCTTCTTCCAGGCGCTGCGTCCTTTTCAACTCTTCCTCTTTCGCCGCACGCTCCACTTTCAATCGTTCTACGTCCTCGAAACTAGTTCTCACGCGATTCTTGACTTCCTCTGCGCGCTCATTGAGCTCGAGGAGTGAGGCATCCATAGTGACCATTTGTTCCTCCTGTTCGTCGGCTATCTCTCTCGCAGCAGCGAGCGTCAGGCGCGGTGCGGGATGTGCGAAGCGCAGACGTGTCAACGCAAGACGTGCGTCAAGTATCTGTTGCGTTAGGGCCGCTGCCTCCTTCGTCACTTTTTGGGCACGGTCATAGGCTGTAAATTGTTGGAACGAACAAGTATAGAAGTTGCTCGATTTACAGACCTTGATCAACGAGGATTGCCTTTTCCCTTATTTTGCCGTATGTTTCACCTAGTCGCACTTTATCCTCTTTCAACAACCGTTTCCTTTCTACGTTCGCCTCCTCTAGCAAATAGATCGTGGTCAAGATCAAATAGTTGACTGGTCCTACGCACTGAATTGCTCATTGTTCTCTGCATCGATGCCTGGTTCGTCAGGGCTAACAATGAACTTGACGTATTTGTCCTTAGCATGTTGTTCAATGTAGTGAAACTTGAGTTTCCTGAGAAAGGACTATCAAACATTTGTAGCCTCAGATAATCAGATCAAGACATATTCAAATATCACTAGCCTGCTGTGCCAAAACATCAGGAGCAACGATCCGCGGATTTGTAGGGTTGTTTGATAGCGCAGAGTCGGTGAGATTAGTAAAGTCTTTGCGAAGAAATTGATTTTTGAGTTCGTTTATTGTAAGTTCCGCAGACTCGAGTTCCTTTTGAAGAGATAAAGCGCGTTCAAGCTCGAGGGAGCGGGCGGGGGCAGTTTCAACCATTGTGGACGCGTCCAGTCACGATATCGTCACGTCTTCGCGTTTGGGATTCCGCTTCTATTTTGAACTGGCTGCCAGTTCACCGCCTTGCACCGGACGGCACCTGCTACAGGAACTAGAGGCTATGCCTTGGCACAAAGACTACCTATCGTTTGGCGGCGAATCTACGTACTGCCTCTCCACTTCCATATCCTAAAAACATCCTAATCAGAGGGACAACCTGCGTGCTAACTGCTTATGATTAAAAGTAATCTCATGGGGTTGTAGACAATACTGTTTCCTAATGTTCCTGCCTCAAGTTTGGCTCCAACTCAAGGTCGCTGGCCAGTAATAATGATGACCAGTCTTCTCAACTTCGGGTTCTCGTCAACGACGTTTCTGCATTGACTTACCAAGCTGCCTCTACAAGGTGGCTGGAAGCTGTCCTGTCTATATACTAAAGCGGTGCTGCAGAAGTGTACAAGGCTGCGTTCATGGACTGCTTCCAAGCGCTCGACAACTATAAAGCTCTCGCGTTACTACTACTTGCTTAACATTCACTCAATAACACTAAATCTACGACGTCGCTTGCCACATATTTTTAATCGATCATGACGACCAGCTATCAAAGCCTAGACAAAAAGTGCGTCTTGCAAACTACTCTCTTACAAACCTATCTGAAGGCGGTTTATAGATCCGATCCCCCGACCACGTCTGAGACTATTATTACTTCCAAGGATACCCCTCAGTCTGAGGTTAAGGTTTCAAGGTTAACCCCAGTATTGCATTCCGTGGATTCAGAACTAACACATCGTCTCTTCAGCTCCCTCGGCACCCTCGATGACAATGACGACGACGACGACGACGTCTATCAGCCGAGAGCACCAAAAGACCCGGGCGCCGTAGATGGGAAAACGAACAAACCCAAGGGTAAATAAATATCAATATGAGTGAGGGCATTCAGGATAGCTCTGTGAGGAGATAGTGCAGTATTTGATTTAGCAATATTAATGAACATGACGATGTGAGCCTCTGGTTGTGCATGCCTAGGTAGGTATGGCAATGAGTGCAAGCTACTTTAATGGGCGCTTGGTTTAGGGGTATAACGTTCGCTTAGCATGTATGATGTTGCGAACGGTCCTGGGTTCGATTCCCAGAGCGTCCAATATATATTTTATTTTATAGACCAAATGTAATCGTTGCATAACACAACATTTTTACTTATACCTTTTTTGTAAAAAAAAAAACCTTCGAACGTTCAAACGTAAATATATTTGCATTTTGACTACCAAAAGTAATGTAATTCGAAAAAGAGAACAACAATTATTGCATCAGCTCTCAACTACTCTTATCGACCATCTCTGTCATAGGCGCATCGGAAAGGCGCGCCGCAAGCTTTGTTCTTCCCACCTGAATGTCCCTAGATGCACCATGTCCACGTCCTCCCCGCGGCTGACCACGGCCCCAACCAGCAGGTTCAGACCTATCACTGAGCACAGGACTTGTTACAGGATGTTGGTTCTGACCCTGAGACAACCGATTTGCAAGACTGTGAGCCGAAGCGCCATTAGAGCGTATATCGACAGGCGGTTCAGGGCGGACTCGTGGTGGAGAGCGTTTGTTGGACTCCAGAGGAATTTGGGTTGAAGGGGAACTGAAGACCTGCCGATCTTGGTGAGACTGGTATCTCGGAGACGGCCTTTGTTCGTCGCCTTCCGGTGGAGTGAAATGGTTAGAAAGAGGCCTGGCCCCATCTCGCGCGAATGGTGCACGCTGAGGAGAGTGATGAGAAGTAGGAGCCCGCACGGGAGGCAGTTCAAAATCTCCTGAAGGAGGTATATCGTAAGCCGTTGTACCCCTCGGCTGCTGGTATGGTAGATCGTTAGCTTGGCTCGTCAACCCAGGCCAGTCGTGTCGAGGCATACGCGAGGCCTCTTCGTCCTTATTACGGTGAATCGGCTCACGAGAATTGTAGTTGCGTCCATATTCAAACATGTAGTTCGATTCGCGGGGTGGCGTCCTTGGCCTCACTCGGGGTGGTGATCTAGGCCTCATAGGCGGAGGCGGTACTCGCGAAAATTGTATGGGTGGTGTTCGAGGTCTTATGGACTGTGGTATGGCTCTAGACCTAAGAGGTGGAGAGAGCAATCTTTGCCTAACATCGTAGCGTGATGCAGGACTCGGCGGCTGGAGCGGACGATGTATAGTAGTCCGTCGTGATACTCCACGATCTGCTGGAGGTACAAACGAATATCCAGAGAGGTATGGTTCTGCCGCAGCCGTACGAGGAGGCGTCGGACTCCAATGATCGAATCCTCGCGGATTGGGACTTCGAGAACGTGCCCTGCGCGGGGAGGATCTTGGGTGGCCTAGCGAGGGTCCTGGTCCACAACGACCGGTAGGACGCCTAGACGGGCCAGCATAACGTACATCTCCATGCCCACGTACACCTCTCATTGGCGATCGTGTTCTGTCACGTTCGCGTTGGACGGGGGACCGTGACCGGGATCGCGAACGAGACCTGGACCATGAAGGGGAATACTCCACCCGTGGTGGCGTCATTGCCATATCGACAGCCGGTTCTGCAATCTCAACATTCTCGGGTGCTGCCAATTCCGGTGTAGGTGTGCGACTGTGAGTGCGAGCTCTACGTCGTCGTGCTCCTGGTCTTGGATCCTCTTCATCAAGCTCCAGATCTAGGTGTCTAATCTGCCCCGAAACTTCTGAAGTGGCGTCAGGGTATGTCAGTTCAAGCTCTGACGTCTCTAGGCTGGTGCCACGTCTCTTCTTGAGCGTATGGTGCATAGCCGAAGCAGCAGACGGGCTGCGAGGAGGTTTCAATGGAAGAATGGGCTCCGCCACCTCGGGACTGTGTGAAGACAAAATCATGTCTGAAAATGAGGATTCTCGTTTGAACTCAGGCTTGAGTCCAGTGTCCAAAGTCGAAGTAAGTACAGAAGTAGTAGGGAGTATAGAGGGAGGAGGCGAGGAACAGATTTTGATTTTCGTTTGTCGCTCAATACCTCCAACCGTCAAAGGAAAAGGTGGCATGTCAATGGTTCTATTGAGAGCAGGTTTAATAGACACAGCCGGAGGAGTTGATATGAGTGTTGCTTCCCGCCCTATTATGGGCACGAAAGCGTTGGAGGCTTGGGCAGAGGCTGTTTCTTGTTCGATTGCTTCCTGTTTGATGACTTTGGTCATTGGTAGAGATGGTTCAAGTCGTGAGAAGGATACGGGGGTTGCAAGTGAAATGGAAGGCTGTGCAAGTGGCATTCCGTACTTGTATTGAGAAGATGCAGCAGCACCGCTTGACAAACTCATCGGCGGGGCAACCATGTGGTTTGCTTGCACTTCATTAGTTTTTCGAACCTGGAGGGAAACATTGGACGGCACTGAATCTAAAATCTCAGGCATCGCCTCCTTGCTCTTCGGCAGCTCTGCAGACATGTGAAGAATTTGGTCTGGAGGTACAGTGCGCTTCATCGCTTCTTGCTCTAGCCCCAGTGCAACACCATCGCCGGGAAAGGGAGGTTTAGGAGGGAGCGGATGCTGCAGATCTCGTGGAGACAGGCTAAGTTTTTGAGGGGTAGGTGACGATACAGCAACGATGGATTGCGCCATGACGACTGGCACATGCGAAGTCGTTGGAACCGAAACCTGCAACATCTGCTCCTGTGCAGCATTTTCCTTTTCCTTCCTACGCTTTTGTACTTCTTCTCGCAACCTCCTCTCCCTTTCACGCAACGCCTTTTCCGCCTCGTCATTCAGCTGTTTTTCTCTCAACATTCGCGTCGCTTCCTCTTCTTCCTTCTTCCTTTCTTCCTTCTCTCGCCTTAGGAAAGCAAGCTCTTGCTCCAAATTCTTCTTTCTGATTGCAGCCTCCCGCTCCGCTCTCTCACGCTCGCGTTGTTGAATCGTATGAAGCTCCTCTTCTTGTTCGTCAACTCCAGGTGACGTCTCTGAAGCGTCAACACTGAGCGATCGCCGGTTCACATCCGGATGCTGACTTTGAGCATGAGCCTCCTCCGTATGGATATGCTGCTGCACGCTATGATTTGGGCTGGGCTGGACAAAAATTTTATCGGAGTCGGATAATTGTACATCTCCTGGTGGAACATAGTTCGACTTGTCCACGTCCACAGTGCTTACCTGCGTGTCTGTAGAATTTGACGGCTTAACTCGTTTCTGCATCGGTTCCGGTATATCAGCCTCCTCCCTCACCCGTTTCTTTCCTTCAGCTCGAGACGGTTCGGGGCTCGGGATTTGTGCAAACGCCCTTGCATTGGCAACCTCACCCCACTCCCGTGCCTGCGCGGCACTCTCTGCCCAAATCGGGCTCATGTGGAACGCAAGGGTGCCGGATGTGAGAGTGTCCAGCTTGCTCGGAGTCGAGAAGGCGACGTCGGGTTTTGTAAGGGGTGGGAAGGGTGTATCCGTGTCAGAGTCAGAGTCAAAGGACACCTCCAAGTGCTCAGGAGAGGAGGGTGACAGATCGGGTGGGGTTGTTGATTTGACGGTGCACATATTGTCTTTTACACCGGGGTCAGGAGAAGAATCCATGTTTAAACGGGGCGAAGGCATCGGAGGATCTGAAGTCGCAAGAGATGCAGTGGACGACGATGGTGCCACGACAATAGGATGCACAACGTCCACTTGCATAGGAGACGAGGGTTGTTGCGGCGAAGTCAGCTGCGCCGTCGTGTCGTTGAGCACGGGGAGTATAGGGGAAATACTTTCTGGGGGCGTAACTGGTATGTTAACAGAACTACGAGGCTTAGACGTAATAGGCAGCGATACTGCTGGTGGTTGAGGTTGTTCGCGCCGCGGAGATACAGGAACCGACTGCGGTGAAATTCTGTCAGAAAGCGTAGTCGAAGTGAATCCTGCAGGGGGGACTGCATGATCTACAGAGAAAATTCTCTTTACAAGTGGTGCAGGAGCAGGTTCAGGAGTGGAGATTCGATCGGAAAGTGTGGATCTTGACTGTCCGGGTTGTTCAATGCGATCTTGCAAGGCATGAGTACTGAAATGTTGAGCACGTGTTACTTTGGGACTTTTGGAACGATGAAAGGTGTTAGTTTGGTGCTTGTCTGAGTCCTGTGCCGATTGTCCTTCATGTTGAGATGCAGACATACGTTTGAGAAGTGATGGTGTGCCAACTGCTTTGGACCGTTTCTGAGGGAAAGAGAATGATTTGCCAATAAAATTGAACTGCACGTCATCCATATCCATGGCAAAAGGAGCAGAGGCAAAAATGTGTGTAGTTAAGAGGTTAAGCCCAGGGATGCTATACGTAGCGTCTGCTGCGAATATGAGACTTTGTTTCAGACGGCGACGCTGTGGAACTGGGTGAACGAAGGGGAAAAGCAGCGGGACGCACGATATCGATAAGGGCTAAGCGCTAAGCCTTTGGGCCGATTGAAAGACAAAAGAGCCGCGCTTACGAAGAATACGACAACTATATATGGAGCAAGCACCGGCGTCTATGTAGGAGACACAAGTACAGATACTTCTCAAAAGGAATATTCGAACACCTCTAGATGAAAGTAAATACCAATTTCCAAACAACATAACGGCCTCGAAACGAGACTGTATAGATACCTACGCGACGTCATGTCCGGTTAGATTACCACCATGAGTATCATTGTCTGGCCGTCGATGCACATCCATTGCACTGTTAGAAAGTAAGCCACCTGGCCTTCGAGCGCGATATCTACGAAATTACTCACCTATATGCTTGCCGCTCGTGTCTACTCCCATCGCTGGTGATATGTTGTTGATGTGTGCCTTGGGAACCTCGTCCATCGGTATGTTTCCTCGGCCACGTTCCAGGCTGCTGTCTTGACGTCCCGCTAAGTAAAGCGCTCGTTTCATCGGGTCCCAAATCTTCATTTGGAAAGGTGTTGGAAGATGCATCACGGACAATAGCCTGACTTTGTGAAGACCGCGAAGGGATATTGCTCACCACTGCGGTGTCATTCTTTCAGCTACTATCAGTCTGGCGTGTGTAGAAGAATCATACATACACATAATCAACGGCGCTGACGTGCCATGTACAAGAATAGAACTGAATATGATAAAAGTAGTTGCAGCAATGATGTTGTTCCTTTTTGCAAAATCGTCGGGCAACTTGTCTGTTGCCATTAGTGCATAGTAAAGCGC